AAAAGAGTCAGAACAAAGTCAAATTTGGTTAACAAAGGGTTTATTAAGTGCACTTTATGATTTCAAACATTTTAAACAGTAAACTTTAACTTTATAAATAACAGAAAAACATTTAAAAAAACAGCAAACATGAGGCTATTTAAACCATCGTTAAACGAAACAGGGGACCCAAAATTGAATCGCTATGCGAAGCATGGTCCCAACCATCACTAAGCGAAAATTGCCCATAGGGACCATCGCTAAACGAAGCGCAAAAACGCTCCAAAAAAGTCATCGCTAAGCGATTTCGTCGCTAAACGGAGTGCCCATTAAGCGAGGCACCACTGTATAAGGAACGACAGATTGTTGTCAGGCAATAGTCTGACTCTGATAGCCAATTTATGTTTGTGTAAGGGAAACTGCATGTTTGCTTGCATATCTCTCCATTTCTAACGATAAGATTCCATGGGGGATGGAGGAGTGCAAGATGAGAGGGGGAATGGCAACCAGTAATTGTAATCCATTCCTTCCAGTCCAAGACAAAGGAAAATGGCAGATTTTGCTGCATGTTAAGAAAACAAAGCATGCAAAGTGTGGTTCTGGAAAAAAAAATACGTCTTTTCCAGGATGTAAGGAGGGGGCATATTTTTAAAGAACAGCTTTAAATTATGCATTTTACTATAGCCACACACCTTCCCATGAATGTAATTTTTTAGACTTGGTCACCAAAGAGGTAGTTAGGTGCAATGTATAGTACACACAACAGTGCACAGTGAGAAAAGAAGTACTGTTGAGCATATTAAGCTGGTACAGCCATGTGTACAGAAAGGGATAGGGTGTGTGCATGTGAGAAAGGGAGTAGATCAATCTAGTTTCAATGTGACCAGGTACATATAACACATCCTAGTCAAAAATGCTCTACCCATTGCTGTTTTGAGTGAAAAATTAGAGACTCTTTGGCCAAATCAGTGCAGCAGGGAAATCTATCAATGCAAAGGAGATTTCCATTTAAGACCAGCTGTAGCATCCATCCCTGCACAAGACAAAAAATCCTTATTCCCCCTTCCGTTGTTTCTTCCTATAACCCACCTTTCCATCATTTCACTCACCCACCCCACTTCTCTTTTCCTCCTACACAACTCTTCCCTTTTCCTCTCCTGCCCAGGTCACTTTTCTCATGACTCACCCACACAGGTGTTCTTTCTTTCCTTCCCTCACTGACCAATGTGATTTTTCTTTCTGTCCCATCTCAAGGCAATTTCTTTTTCTTTCAGTATTATCTTCTTCTCTACCCACTTCCTCCATCTTTCTCTTTTCTCAATGTTCTGTGCCTTCTACTATCTAGATCAGTGTTTCCCATTCCAAGGGTCATGACCCCCAAGGGGATCACAAAGTATTTTCTGGGAGGGGGGGTCATGGTTCGCTTTATATGTCTTTGTTAAATAATTTCTTCCCTGACCTTTTGGGGTGGGAGATTAAAGTTAATGTGTATGTGTATGCATGAAAACAGGCCCTTTGGGGGAGAAAGAAGCCTCTACGTTCTGAGACGGGATGATGTTACCCCTTTAAAAATGCCATTTTTTTGCAAGCATGGGAAGGGGAGTCACAGGTCAAGGGGGCCACAATTCTGAATTTTGGGAACCACCTCTCTAGATCCTCATCCATCCACATCTCTCTCTCTCTCTCTCTCTCTCTCTCTTTCTCCTTCCATGGAACAAACGCACCAGATTCTCTTTTTCCTCTGCCCACAATCCAGTAATGTGTATGTGTGTGTATGCACACTTATGTATGTGCTCTTACTCTCCCCAGCTTATTTATTTCTTACTAGTCTTACAAGTCTGTCTTTCCTTCCACCTTAGTACCCTGTTTGCCCCAAAACAAGACATAACCTGAAAATAAGCCCTAGTATGATTTTGCAGGATGCTTGTAATATAAGCCCTACCCCAAAAATAAGCCCTAGTTAAGTGAAACCCCGCCCTCCACCAGTGTGCAGCCACCAGAAGAAGATGACATGACTGCATTTGAATAAATGTAGATGGTTGTACATGGGAAAAAACATCCCCTGAAAATAAGCCCTACTGCATTTTTGGAGCAAAAATTAATATAAGACCCTGTCTTATTTTCGGGGAAACATGGTACTGATCCAGTCAACCCCTCTGCTTTCCTCCCCTTCCTTTGCCGGAATGCAGGGGCTTCACTGTCTCTCTCTCTCCCTTCTCCCTCTTACCTTTTCAAAGAGCTGTGCTCCTTGCAGAGGGAGGCACCAGTCATGTTCTGCCTCTGGGCAAGAAAAACTGACTACAGTCACTCTGAAGAGATGAGTATGCCATGCTGGATTGCAACTTCTTATCTGCTGGTTAGGGAAATCTGCCTCCTTGTCACTGGAGGTGGTAATGCAGGCTACAGGCAGACATAAATACAGATGGGGGTATTCGTATTGGTACGAATACCAATACCCCTGCACAGCTAGACTTAACAAGGGACTGTCCACTCATGTGTCCAGCAGTAGCAGTAGCAGTAGCCTCAGTCAGCCTTCCAATTGTTCCTGGAGCACTGCTCTCTTTCCATTTATCTACCTAACTCCAAGCAGGGGGAGGGAGAACAAGCCTCCCTGCACGGCTGCTGAGTGGCTACATGAGCGGAAAGAGAGCGGTGCTCTGCGAGCGATGGGGAGGTTGACCGAGGCTGCCGGACATGGGAGTGGGCAGCCCAGTCCCTGGGCCCAGACCCTCATTAAGTCCAGCTGTGCGGGGGTATTCATATTCATACACAAATACGAATACCCCCATCTCTAGACATAAACAAAAAACCAACCAATCTAGTTTGCAAACAAAATTACTGAAAGGTACGAAGCCCTAATATCCCTTTAGTATGCATATGATGTTTGTGGTGTCTAAATTTCCCAGTCTGAGAGTTACAGGGGAGACAGAAACACCCACAGAGGCACATCTATTCTCCTGTATTAGTATAGATAAATGACCCACAATGAGCATGACAGAATCCACCACAGACAGAAGCTCGTAGATTATACAGGACTCTTCACTCAAAAGACTTTGGATGAAGAGCTCTATGTAACAGGTCAGCTTGGATATTTCAGCCATAACAGAAAGTAGAGGGCAGAATATTCCCCTGGCACAATTGCCAGGGTACGCTGGGACGTAGAGGGACACTACCAAAAATGGCATTCCTGTGAGGAAATCCACACTCCTCTCCCTGCGCTGCCTTCACAGTTGTCCTTTGCAAAGATAACAAAAGAGCCTCCTCCTGATGCTGCAGATGCTGTGGCAACTGGCTCTGGGTACCACTGCCCTTACAGATCACTCTCAGTTCAGTTTTATAATGGAAGCAAAGGTGAAGTGACGTAGGGAGCTGCTCACATTTTTCTCCTCCTCCATCCTCATCTCAAAATGTTGAAACCAAACTCCCTAAAAAGCTAGACAATGAGGAGCAAAAGACAGACACCCCCCTCTCTCCCTCCCACCAACCCTCAATTTCCATCTCTTAGAAAGAGGGAGAAAAGCAGATCAGAAGAAGAACATCAAACATGCCAAAGAGGCCCAGCTTGTAAGTTCTCTGATGCTGCCTAACAGATGTAGCTTGAATCCTAGGTTGATAGCAAATGAAAACGGCTGATAACTTATACTGGCTAATTACCATCTCT